TGTGTCGAATCGAGTGGCTGAAATTCAAGAGTGGACAGAGAACGCAGAATGGCGCCATGAACCTACAGAGCAAAACCCAGCAGATATCGTTTTAAGAGGCTGCGATATTGACGAGTTAATTGGGTCGATGTGGTTCGATGGGCCTTTATTTATGATAGAACCAAGAAAATCCTGGTCGGTTAACCAGCATCTGATGACAGATAGCTGTTGGACTAGCAGCTATGATAGACCGACAGATATCTTGAAACTATCGGTAGTTTTTCATCGCATGCCAAGCTGCTGAGAGTGTTTGCTTATGTGTTCCGATTTATTTAACAATGCAAAATCGAGCAAAATCGTCAGCAGCCTTAGAGAGTGGAGCTCCTTAGCGGCGCTCAAAAAAAGGGAAAGCTTTCGAGAAAAAAGTTGAAGTCATCCAATAAGTTGAATTCAAAGATGACATAGATAGAGTTCGAGAAGGAACGCGCGTGGGTCCATTTATACATGAGTATAATGGATCTTCTTTTTGCAAATGCTCCTCTTTATTGTGGTGATAAAAACATTATTAGTACCTGCATTTGACGAATTGTCATGCTGGCCCAAGTGAGTTTTCTTTGTAAAAGAGGTCTATCGTCAGACAGTTGCTTTAAATGCAAACCTCGTCTACTAAAATAAATTATGGAAGATTTACCAGCAGATCAACTTCGAGCACTTCTCCCGTCTTGTATCTATGGCGTCGACTTTTGTAGCCCAAGTCGCACATAGGATTATTTGTTTGCTTCGCTTTCAAAGCGGTTCACTTAGAACTAGTATCTGACTTATCCACTTATTCATTTTTAATGGCTTTTCAAAGGCTCTTCGGCCACGGAGGAGTCCCAAAGACCGCCCATTGCGACAACGAAAGCCAGTCGCCAGTTTCGAGAGTTACGAGCTCGAATTGAGGAAAAGGCGGACGCAATTCGTAAATTCGCATTAAACAGCTATTGCGAAATTGCGCTCTACCGCCAAGAGCTCCGCACTTCGGGAGTTTGTTGGAGGCAGGTATGAAGCCTGCAAAGCACCTACTCCCACGGACGGTACTCCCAAGCAACGGTGAGACTCTAATGGCAGGCCACCTACTGCTGGGAGGCCCATTGAGGGCTCTGCCGGCAGAGGGGATTGTGGACCAGGAGGGTCTTATCTGCTTGAATGGATGGCGAGCTGTCTCGTCGCTCCCGGAACAGTTATAGCGGTAACGGTCAAAGGAGTATGTTCTTGGACTCCAAGCGTGCACCAAGTGGCACCATCTACTGCCAAACGTCATCCTTAGAGAGCTAGTGGTCGTGTCCGAGGACAATTTGCCTCCCCAGTAATGAATGATCATCAAAGTGACGTCGGTGCATGCAGGAGGGGGTGGTGTCCTTAGGGTCGCAGAGCTGAGGTCCGTCAGTGGCGGAAATTTCAAAACGCTGATCCATTAGTTGCCACGGACTTGTCAAATGAAGCCCCCAAGCGCTTCATGGTGACCAGTGTTGGCGCTGATCTGCGCATTGAATAATTTAATTGATTAAAACGTTAAAGTCTGGTGTAAGTTAGGCTTAGGGCGGAGCGGGAGCTTAATATAGCGCTGTCACTCGCTCTAGGAGCGAATTCGCCTCGCTTCACTTTATAGTTGTCAGTTGTCGAATTATACAAAACCGATCAGCATGACACGCAAAAAAAAAATCGTTAAATCTTAAAGCAAATAACAATTTTAGTTTATAAATATATAAAATCATATAATTTTTCACATATCACGTTAATGTTCTGAATTCATATTGATTTCGTTAATGATCTTGTATTCAGTCTTACCGAACCAGCTTTAATTTACTTTAACTGGTACAATACGATTTAATTATTTCTTTTTATACGTGTATACAAAATTTCAATAGTTTTTTTTTTTTAGTTTTAAAGTATAGTTCGATTTTTTCTATTAATATATATTTTTATACCCTGAACCCATTTTTAATGGGTAAAAAGGGTAAATTATTATTGTGCAAATGTATATAACAGGCAGAAGGCAGCATTTTCGACCCCATAAAGTATATATTCTTAATCAGCATCAATAGTCGATCAAGACGTGTCCGTCTGTCTGTCCGTCCGTCTGTCCATCCGTCTGTCCGTATGTATGAACCCAAAGATATCAGAACCTATAAGAGACCACGCTAGTGACTTGAAATTTTAGCTTTAGGTCCTCCTAGTGCCTGCGCAAATCGAGTTTTTTTCCGATAATCGATAACTTACTCCGTTTCCAAGCAATCGATAAAAATCGATATCGACATCCTGTTTTTTGAGCAAATCGGGTAAATATAAGAAGCTAGATTCACCAAACTTGATATGTTGCTTCTAGAATATGCTAAATATATCAAGTATCTTTCATTTTATACCTATCGCCATCTCCCCGCTACCATCGCAGAGCTATAAATCAAGTTAATAACCCAACTTATATTGCCCGCCACTTTAAGCCCCAATTTGAATACAATTGACTTTTTGAGCATACACAAATATTCTATGGGTACAAAAAGAAATACCATAGAAAGTTTCATTAAGATCGGTTAAGAACAACCCAAAAATTATGTGTTTTACTACGCAATTGGATGGGGCAGCTAGCGCAAATTCCATGAATTTCTGTATACATGTACATACAGACAATTCTATCAACAGCATTGCAATTGCGATTGTCTTCTGTGCTGCTATTTTAATTCGTTTTTTTTTTCTCAACAATGCTCAATTATTGGTGTGGATGTGGAGTAGAGGCATAGTAAGTAGTGCGGTCTGTCGCGAGTTGGATACCTACCGGGGAAACTATTTTAATTTTTTTTGGCTGGTGTGGCTGTTGAGTAGCGTTGTCAGCAAGTAATGCGGTCAGTTGCGAGTTCGAACCCTGCAAAGGGGTTTTTTTTAATATATCTTCATTTCTTTAAATGAGCGTGTAACGCGTGCTGCATTTGGTATTGGAATAAGAGGGTTCAGGGTATTCCCTAGTCGGGAGCTCCCGACTGAAACCTTTTACCTGTTTGTAATACAATCTATTTTACTATTTATTTTTTTGATTTCAGCAGTTGCCTTGTGATTAAAGGGTAAGCACTCTTTGCTTAAATTATAATGTTTTTGTTTTTGTATGGAGAGAGGATCGTCTAGTTTATTTAAAACAAACAATTAGCCGAGGATATCACAATTAATGTCGATGTCCTTTGTGCTGCTTGTACTCCTAATAAGCAATATCTAAAATAGTCGAAAGTGCGCTCATTGCTCAGACGCAAGGAGATGCTAACCTTAACGTTGTAAGCGCCAGAAACAGCCGTTGTTAAGCTAACATTATATTATATTATTGGCATGGTTTTCGGCTATATAAATCGCCATTAGTGCCAGGAGTGCGTAACGAATTTTTCGTAACATGCTCACTAAAATTGTTTGCAGTAGTATTTACTTAAATCGGTTTTAGTAGTAATTACAATGCTTAGTTTAAAAATTGTTTTTACAAATATAACACAGTTCAATACCAACTACTCCAAAGAATTATCATATTAGCATATGTTATCTGATATGCATGCACTACATTTCCAGTATATTTTAGGTCGCGGTCATTTCTACTATTCAACTAATCGAACGAACTATTTTTCAACCCTATTTTACTGGGCACTAAACACATCCTCATGTCCCTATAAAATATCATTCTTATCCAACTCACTGAATATATATGTTCAACATCATTCGTTATTCCCTAGTTGTAAGATATTGCTTTCGAATATATACTTTTGCGAGTTTCACGTACCAGACCACCCAAGCCATTTGACTGAATCCTTGAAGTTTCAATAAATAGTAAGTAAACTTCTATCTTATTCAATCGACTCAAATCTTTAAAGATGAATAATATGCGTTCACGAGCTGGCTTTACAAACCAAAACTTTATTACTGGGCACACTTTTTTAGATTATCTCATAACCTTTGCGTTGTTTATTATACACATTAAATATATGACTTCCGTAGAAGCTTCTACAGCAATACACCTTTGACTTGTCTATTATACACATTAAAAATATTTAAGATACTCCGCAGAACATTCTACGGCATTCTAAGTAGAGTAACTCGCAGATTTTTACCAGCTCCTACTGACCGACAGTTGAAGGTACTTATTTTGAAATGATACTCTTAGAGAATTCAGTAATTCAAAACAGAAATGTATATGCGCCAATAAGCCTTACACCATGAATTTAAAGGTTGTACATTTAAAAAAAAATTTTTTTCTCCTTATCGTTTTCCTCGTATTGCATCACCAGCGAAAATTATTCCATTTTTATCATTTTTAAATTGTTGTTATCTTACCCTATATAGCTGTCGATTACAATCTAGTAGCATAAGACTAATCGATTTATAGTTAATGAACATCGATTATATTACTTCACTGTTTTCGTGTTAGACTTTGTGGTCAGAAAGTTTTAAATTTAGCAAATGCTTTTAAAACACTTAAACTTACAGGAGTGTGAATAAATTGTTAAATACAGAAGTGCTTACCAAAATAGATATATGTAGAAACCGCGCGAATCAAATTTAAAATGTTTAAAAATGAATTACAACTTTCGACAAACAGTATGTAATGCGTACTGATGTGTGCGGCGCTGTGGCTGTTGCTGCGTACACAACGCGAGGAAACATGCAATATTGTGTGCACTTTTCCAACAAGTGCAAGCGAGATGGCTATTGCTACTAGAATCATTGTATACAACATCTTTCATACACTTACATACATACAAGGCAAGTAGCGCGCGAGCGCTCTTGTAGCCGACATTGCTCTAGCGACTACAGAGCATAAAGAAATAAAACAATTTAAAAAATATATAAAAATGTGTCGTGATTATAAATATCAGAAATAATAACATACCAAGAATATATATATATATATATATAAATACAACGAAACAATAAAAATTTTTATTATGGATAGAAAACTAATTATTTATACATATATGTGTGTACATGAGTACAAAATATTATATATGTATATTATGTAGACACAAAATGAAAACAGATTCAGTTTAAAACAAAGTCAATAATATGCATATGTGTTCAAATATACGTGTTTATAGTTTAGTTAAATACATAAGTGCAAGTATGAACCTTTCTGACGGAGTGATGAAAAGTGTAAAAGATGGTGTCGGGTGGTGGATAGAGAAAGGGGGAATGATAATGCTATGTATGTATTTATATACATATGTTTTAATGAACACGCAACATAAATATATATCATACGTTTTTTGTTCATATGCGTGTAAGTATGAATTAAATACAAACACAAAAAAAAAAATGATTTACGACCGGTCACCTTCTATTATAAATGGTATATTACATATTTTAGAAAATTGTCAAAAATTCATTGCCGATTAGTGCATTTTACTCTACAACAAACCGTTTGGCTGGTATTTAAATCGTTATTAGGTGGAGTGGTATTTTATATTTCATCTTTACTATGAAAGGTAAAGCACACATCATTTCCTTAATATGATCACACCAATGGACTCATTCTTTTCAATTTCGATGATTATAGCTTTAATGGCACCCACAGCATTAATAGCTAAAATAGAAACAACAGACGATTATTGATACTATAGAAAGGCGCAAGCACACACAAAAATAAGAGAAAAAACTAATAATACGTTATTGACATGGATACCACTAATTCAAATCCAACTGGAACGCCGGTGTTAAAATCGCTTGCTGCCTCAAGCGTTCTACAGGAGTCACGCGCTCTTTTAACGCAACTTGACAGTGTAGAAGCAGCTAAAGCGGTTCTTCCTGCGAACGCGGCTATCGTGAGTGCCAACAAAAATCAACTACAAGATGAGACGAACACACTTGGTACGATTGCAGTGGTAAGTGATCAACCAGTCACTTCAACACTTACGTCGATAACAATGCCAAACACAACGGCTGTGGGACTGAACCTGCCGCCACCTACACCGAATTTAAGTGTTGCAGGATCTGCAACTGATGTTGATTTATTGAGTTGTTTGCTCCCAGCGCCGTCTTCATTTGTAACTGCTGGTCTAATACCAACGTCAACACCACCACCTCACACCTCTTTAGACCAAACAGCACCAGCAGCACTAACGCCTGCACCATGTGCAAGTGATTTTGACTCTGACACGGAATTGTCAATCGTAGCAGCAACAGCTGCAACAGAAGTTGCGTCCACAGTAGACAACTCGACCACTTCACCAATCTCAACCTTATCGTCCGCACCAGCTCAAACTGCATTATTAGCAACCACAAACGGCCACATCAACAGCAACAACACCTCCAGCAGTTGTCCTCAACTGAGTCTTAACACAAAACAGCAGCGCCAACAAAAACGACGGCGTGAGCGAGCCCAGCGCCTGCAGGCAGAGCGCGATAGTCGATGCAATTTAAGTGCATTAAGTGGCACTCTAATTGCAGGATCTGTTGGTGTGGGCGTTAGCCTTGGTATTGGCGCTGTTACTGGTAGTAGCAGTGGCGGTATCATTGGTTCGGTTACTGCACCTAACATAATAATGGGTAACTCTAGCGCAGTGGCTCCTGGGAATAGCTTACTATACAACCTCAATAGTGCTGGTAGTATGGGTGAAGATAGCAATAATTCCAATGGAAATTTTACTAGCAGTAGTAACGGTAGTAACAATTTACTACCACCTACGGACAGCATTGCATCACTGCTATTAAATCCGCCACATTCGCCCGAATGTAATTCTGGTCTTATGGCCACCCCTAGTGACAGCGAAGGTGAATCACTGGATGAAGATCTTCTTTCAACATCATCATCGTCAACATTGCTGCTTCCGCGCGATAAGCCCCCACCAAGGCCGCCACCTCCAGTTCGCCGAAAATTGCCAAGATCACCTGTCCTAGAAGAGGAGATTATTGATGGATTTGCCATATTAGAGTTTAAAACTTACGAAGATCTTGAGGTAAGTTCAAAGACCTTCTGTGGAGGGAAAAGATGTGATTACTATTTTATTTTCTTAATGTTGTCTTAATTTATGTGTATATATCTAATTAAAAACAGTTTGCTATTAAATTGGGTCAAAAACGCAAGGAAAAGCGGCTTTCGGCATTGGAAGAACTGACGTGCACCTATAGCATAGAGGAGATGAAAATGCCGAAGATCATCGATACTGGCCAACCGCACACACTGCGAACTACCAATCTATCCAGTTTGTCTATTGTAAGCAACAATAATTTAAAAGAAGTTAATCACCACCAACATCGCGGTGTCGGTGCTGGGATGGGGGGCACAATTGTGGCTACGTCTAACAGCATTAGTACTAACATTAACAATAATACAGCAAATAACAACAATAGCAATACGGTATATACTGTGCCATTGGCAAGTATGTGTAACGCACCGGACACGGAAGCAGATAATTGGGTAGAAGATCCATATCGACAACAGCAGGATCAGCTAAGCGGGAGTGCCAGTACTATTAGCATTGACATTAACAGCAATGCAAATCAAAATCAAATTAGTAATAATCAACATTTGAACCATTTAACCCAATCTAAGCAAACCGCATCCTCTGTCATCAACATAAACAATACGACTATCCCAGGAGCCGTAAATACTGTCACTGATAGCTGCCTTCTGGATAATGGTAATGCAAAGCTATCCATTGGTTCGGTCGTGCCACACATAAATCTTAGTGATAATGGAAATGAAAGTAGTGGTAGCGAGAGTAAATCTCAAAATACCAAGAATGCTAACCAACCAAATAATGTGGCAGCAGAATATATTAGCATTAAGAGCACAAAATCAAATGATGCTACCACATTAAACAGTCGTCTAAAGGTTATTTCGTCCTCATGTCCAAAAATCAAAGTGAGTTAAGCAATAAAAAAAGGTATAATTATTAACAATTTATTGAATACCAACAGAAGCTGAATGGTTTAGAATGCAGTAAAGCAGATGTAATTGCTACAGAAGCTGTCGCAACGGGACTGACGTTGGAAATTCAAGACTTTACGAACAGTTCAGCGAAGGTTGTAGGGGCCAGTCTTTTGCTTCAAAAGGATAACGATCTAAATGAAAGTTTTACTGATGTAAGTTTTAATTTTATTGATACCTATTTATAAAAATACCAATATTTTGTACTTTTTGGGCAGAATTCAAATCACTGCACTAGCAACTTCAACGAAACTAATATCGTATGTATTTTCTGTAAAACACTTTATTATCTTTCTATTCATATCATATTTGTTTCAGTGTGATAAGACTAACGGCGGGAATAAGGTAAGTTTAAACCAACAGGTTGTGCATTTTTATCCAAATAAATCCCATGGTAGATTATATATATATACTCGCCCGATTCTTAAAAAATTACAGATGATTAACGAAAGAGAATAGAAAATAAAACATTAAAGTACAAAACATCAACAGTTATGTGTTTACCGATTTTTTTCTCTTTAATTTTTCGTATTTCGGCTGGTGCAAATTTATAATCGCACTTTGATAATTCTAATTTTCTTGACTGTTTTTAATTAGCAAATTCACTTAAAAAATTGTTCGCATAGAATATTAAATTTAAATTAATTAAAATACGATCATTCCGCGTAGTTCTTACCTTACCGACGAGGAAAAATGAATATTAAGAAATTGCTAGGAAAATTAATCATTCTGATGCACTGAAAAAAATGGCACAACAACAAAAGTTTCTAACCGAGATAAGCGATGTAAGCCAACCAAATTGCCATGACTGTAACCTCGATGTGCCCAGCTTTTAACCATTGCACGTTTCCAAAGTTATAGAAATACAATATCTTGAATCTACAAGAGTGCTAGGCAGTCAAAAGATAGCTCTAGAATTAGCAGGGAAAAACATAGGCTTAAATATAGGTAATGTGATCATTTGTCGGAAGCTTTTATTAGCACCAAATAATCGAATCTTTCGCATTGCAGACTATATTTTCGTATGAGAAAAAATTAAATTTAGATGGCGCTGATTGATATAAGATTATTTATTTGCTAAATACAATTACTTCTTGTGAAAGATGTTACGGTTTTTGATGTTTTTTGATAGTGCGTTTAAAGTAAAACCGAAAATCGAATAATAATAATAAAAAAGAAACGGTGAAGACATTACTGTTGTTGTTATATATACATATATGCTTCATATGTTTTTATGTTATATATGTATTTATGTATATAATATAATGGCAATCGACTTAAAGAAAAATACCATTGCAAAGTTGCCCATTTATTCTACTTACTATTCCCAATTAGCTTTTTCGTGCCCATTTGTTCAAAATTAATGTAATCTTTTAGCAGAAAGAAAAACTGATAGTTGTCAATTTACTAAACATTTTAAATATTTGTATTATAAAAAGTTGAGTAAAATATTAATGTATTACACATTTTTTCTGATTGTGAAGGAAACTCAAGAGCTGCATTATCGTGGCAAAAGATTTAGACAAATATAGTTGGAAAAAAAATTATTACCATAGTTTTTAATTCACAAAGCTCCTTTTAACTTTAAAAACTTTTACAAATACAAAGGATTAACTTTTATCCTTTGTAAATGTAAAAACTAAAAGCATCTTTATAAGTTCCTTAATCTCAATCCTTTGAGCTAAATCACTTTTAAAAACAATCCTGGTGGTTCTGATTTTTCTTGTATACGTAACATAAATCATATGAAGACATGTTACGCCACTAAAGTCAAATAAATATATTAACGATACGCAAGCGAGACACAGTGCACCAATAATGACGCACAGCGACTAAAACATGGTAACGAAAATAGATAACTCGGAAAAGGGCCTTGATCTATTTATTAACTTTATTCAACAAAAGTAAATAAAACAAAAAGACACGTTTTTGACCCAAGACAAAAGTTTTTTAAAATTCGTTTTAAGCAAGTTATCCTCTTTCCTATATAAATCCAATTTGGCATGGGCAAAAAAAATTTTCCTGTGTAAAATTGATCAATATTCTTTTTTTATAACATATACAAACAATGATTGATAGGATTTAAATCAAGTAGGGTCTTGAGTGAATGTGGCGTATTATATAAGGTAAACTCGCGTATTATTAGTCATATGCTTAAGGTCATTAGGGTCATGAGGTCATTTCCTCGTTGAAATCAAAGAGATCGATATGTCAAATTTTTGCACGCTTGGCCTCAAATTTGGTTTATCATCACTACACCTACACCATGCATAATTGTCTTTCATTGGGTTATATGCTTCTCTAGTTATTCTCCACACTCGCCGCCGTCTATCTGAGCCAAACATGTTATACTTGAACTCTTCAGAGAATAAAACATGGCGCCAAAACTGTGGAGGCGCAATGTGGTAATCTTTTGCGGAGTCGTTTTATCAAAATATGTGTTTTAAAGAAAAGAGACGTACGTACGTAAGAGAAATGATAAGTGTTGTTTACAGAACGTTTTTATTGAATTATTGAATAATTATGTTAAAATTTAACATGCTCTGAGAAGGAGAGTGTGCTCATGCATATATGGTTATGTCAAAGTATTAGTGCGCGTGTAGCTATGTACTTCTTTTACATTGCGCTCCTGGGCATTAGACTGTGAGATACATAGTCAGCCCTTCTGCCGTAAAGCAACCAAGTGGCTGATCATAGTTATTAGTGGCAATGTTTACGATTGCAACAAAAAATTACATTGTGCATGCATGAATGAACAAAGTAATTATATGAAGTTATTTAATGTTAAAAAAAAATTCCTGTAAGATAAAAATAATTTTGGGTTTTGTTTTGTCTTGTGTGTAATATAAAGGGTGTATTTTATGCATTATTATATTATTTAATATTAGTACAAAAAAAATTTTTTATTGTTTGTTTTCGTTTTTGGTCTTAAAAATTGTAAGATTCTTTTTATTGTTTGTTAACTTTGATTTTGAAATTACAAATCATTTTAATTATTAATAACTTATTCTTTGAGGGTTAATAATGTTATTTAAAAAACAATTTTAATCTATCAATATGTACTTTTTGTTTTGTTTTTTTTTTTTTTTTATTTTAGAATCTATTATGATAATGTTATCATTGGGTGTCCTAGATATCTATCTTTAAGCTTATTACCTGGTTTTAGTAAAACTTGGACTGCTAATTCTAATTGAAAATCTGAAACTTTCCTATCATACTATTCTTTCTGTTTTTTTCTAATTATTTTCCATAATTATTCTTGCCTTCTTATAAGCTTATTCTTATCTAAATCTAGGTTCCTTTGCGTTATATCCTATATTATAAAGATGTTATATTTTATCTATGCTACTAAAATGTTTTGATAGGATTGGATTTTTGCTAAGAACTAGTTCATATTGGCAATTATCAGGTGCCTTGGATGGGGTAATATAGTCGCAATAAACAAAATATTGAAGCCATACTTCCCAATCTGTTCTATCAACTGATATGTTTGAATTCAATTATGTTTACGTGACTTCGTTCAACAGTTCGTAACGTCTGGTTATGGTGTACTGTAGACGTAATGTTGTCTATTTATAAATATTTTCATAAGTTTTTTTTGGAATACTTGTATTCTGTTACCCTTTACTGTAATAAACGTCTTCATTGGGCCGTTATTTAGAATAAATGATTCGAATATAACTTTTGCAACGGCTTTTGCGCGTTTTTTCTTTATTTATTTGTGTCACCGGTTTGAGTAGCGCTATGTTCTTATGTTCTTTAAATATATATTCCCCTTATTTTTGAAAGTATCTATTGAAGTGTTTTCGCTCGGTGCCACTTTAAGTTGGCTAATCTTATTTATACCGGCTTTTGAATCAAGTCTTTGAAAGAATTGCCCTAGGTCGGACATTCTATTAGAATATATATTTTTAATCTCAATTCTTGCTATAACTTCTTAACCATGTTCTAACAAATATTTGATAAATATTTGTGTTAATCGCATTCACTACTTTCCGCGCTTCGTCATTCTTAATGACTTAATCTACGTTGGTCTTAAAAGCAATTTCAAGATTTCGCCTGGCAAATTTTCTTTTCTATTTTCATTGTTATCTCCTGCGCGCAGGATTTATTTTGTTGTCTTGTGGTGATTTTAAAGACTTGGAATGTCATCTGCAATATAATTATCTTTACCCTTAAGATATTCTACTGTAAATTTATATTCTTCTACTTTCAATTTCATTATTGTTAATATTTTAAACTTGCGTTAACCATTGAGAAGAGCTAAGTTAATGGTCTGTGATCCGTTTTTACTATAAATTGTTTGCCATATACGTAAGACGAAAATATTTAATTGCCCAGTGGATTGCTGCTAACTCTTTTTCTGATTTGGAACTCTAGCCTTTTGTGAAGGTTTGGGGCGTATGCTACTGGTAGATTTGTACCATTGTATTCTTGTGTAAGAACTGCTCCACAGGCTTGCATACTTGCGTCGACTGTAATGTAAAATTCTTTGCTAAAATCTAAAAAAAAAATTCCGAGAAACTTTGATTAAAATGTATGCAAAATGGAAAAAAATCTTCTATCCGTCGGAACAGGGGTTTTCTTAATGACATCGTAATATTTGTCTTCTGTTAAAATACTTTTATCAGTACACTTGTGACCTGGAAAAGCTACTTCGTGTATGAAAAACATTTCTCTGTCATAAGTCACCCATATATCGATAAGCTTGAGAATTTTCAAGACCTTAAAATGCTATTGCCAGTTAGAATGAGCTTGGCGCTATTTTTAATCCGTATGGTAATCACGTGAAACAATAGGAGCCATTGTTTGTTGAAAGGGACATAATATTTCGAGAATCTTCATCAAGTTCAATATGGTGGAATTCTAACATTGGCAGTGAATGGCAGTGACTTGTCTGCAAAGATTTTTTTTATTAATTTGACGATAACGAAGCACCGTCTTTTGTCAGTGGAACCTGGTAAAGGCTTCTTGGAAATTAGAGTTGAATTTGAGTAAGTGTTGACTAATTTAGATACAGACGGTTCTACGATACCAAACGTGTTTCTTATTAACCTTTTCTTAAAAAGGTTTTCTTCTGGGTTTGATTGATTTAAGCGATAAAGGCGTATAATAACGTGTTTGTATTGTGGGGCCAGTGAAGTTTAATTGACTCGTCAACCCAGAAGTGTCAATTTTACCAGTAATTAATTTATGAATAAATATTTCACCAAACATAGTTCTACGATTAATTAGAAAAGGAAGTTTAATCATCAGAAGTCTACTGGAGTTTGACGTCAAACGCCATCGAGGATCCCAGTTTAAACCACGAAGGGCAAACAACAAGTATTGTTTCCGTGCCGATT